AGGACGGCTCAACGTGAACTGTTCATTCCCAGCTGACATTTTTGCCATAGTTTTGCATGGCGAGGTTCGGCCAGGGTAGCCAATTTCATTTCACTGCGCCTGCACGGCTGCGGGGGGGCTGCTCGAATGAGGTCCGAGTTGACGCGACAGAGCGCGCGCTTGTGTCTTGGTGTTTCTTACGTCTCTCAGCGCTTCCTGGGCCAGGGAGCGGAATGACAAGATGACTCCAATGATCGTCATCCTCTTCAGGACGCTGTCCACCGCTACAAAAAAAAAAAACAAAAAAGAAGAGCAAAAGGAGTGGCTGCATGTCAGAGTGACGAACCAGAAATCCATTTCAAATCAAATCACTGAAAGCCGGGTGCCTACAAGTGAGCTTCTTGAACAGCGCCGCCATGTGGTCGGGTTTGTCAAAGCTGGTTCTCATCTGGGTCAGCACTTCCATGTTCTCCACCACTAATTTCTGCGCACATGACATCACGTTCACAGCGAACGCTAAGCTGGAAAAAAAAATTGGGGCCGTACGCCGCCCGTACCTTGAGCTCGGCCACCTGCGAAGAGATGTGCCACATGAGGCTTTCGCTGAGGAACTTCATGCCGTACGGCCCCAGCAGCTCAGACAGCGAACGCATCTCTGCCGGGGAGCACAAGGACAGTTGCTGACAGTCGGGTGAGGGCAGACGAGGGGAGGAGAGGACGCACGGGCGTCAGTACCTGAGATGTCAGAGTACTCCTCGGCATTGAAGGTCAGCTCGTTCTCCGTGGGCAGGTTGACGAAGGCCTTCATGGCGGGAAAGTAAGCGATGTGTCCGTTGCTGACCTGCCGGAGCAACGTCTCCAGGTACCTGGCGCCGACGTTTGAAAAGCGACATCAAGGTTGCTGTCCGGGACAACGGCGCCTATTTTTTTGCTCTGGGTGGACGAGGCTTGAAGTGGGAAACGTTCGCTTTCACCGCGGCTTTGTTTGTGAGCAACTTCGCCTTCCCGAAAACGTTCTGATGGCAGTTTTGCACAAAACTATTTGAACGGAATTTGATCATAAAACAGCGTATGACGGCGAGTGCTCCTCGGGGATGGACACAGTACATCCAAACCGATTGCAACTGAAACGGGTGCTTAATAGCGCAGTTTTTTTTTTTTTTGCTCGGACTATTCCACTCGTCAATGAACATGGCGAGTCCCACAGAACACGGTTGGTCACGTCTCATCAGATCAGATTGTGTCATGATTAGATAAGGTGGATTTTTTTTTTTTTTACAATTTGCTTAAATAGTGGTTGAAAAAGTAGTTTTTGCATGTTTTTATTTTGATCCCATTGATTATTATTATTATTATTATCTTATCTTATCTTATTATGATTACATTCAAGCATTTTGTGTGTGTGCGGATGTCGAAATAAGAGTTTCATTTCTGGACCGGGCTGAAACTTGACCTTCTTTCGAAGCCTCTCGCTCCTCGGCGACAAGAGGTGGAGAGAAAATCTGAAGCGCTCAGTGATTTTTGTCGCAGTTTGCCATCCTAGCGCAAGTAAAAAGGCGTCGAAAGAGCGCGCTACGCCGCCGCGCCACGCGACGCCATGGTGCGGACGATGCGGAACGACGCTTCGACGGGCGTTGCGACGCACCAGTTGGTGTACAGGCTGGTGATGGTGGGCTCGCCGTGGCTGTCCAGGTGCTGCGTCTGCTGCAACAGCACGTTGTTGAAGACCCGCGTGATGTCGATGGTGACGTAGTTCTCGATGGACTGCAGCACCGTCATGTAGGCCCGCACGCTGGTCAGCAGCTCGCTGGGCTTGGCGATCTCCTGAGTGGTCTGGTTGTACATGGTCATGCCCACGATGGACCTGGAAGGGGGGGGCAGGCAGTTTATTCCGGTGACGTTCTTCTGCTGTCACCTACGTGCGAGTCGGAAGACGCGCCTTTTAACTTTAAAGTTGCCATGGCAAAAAAAGTCGGATGAGTCACCCCTTGATTTTCGAGTCATTACTTGGGCCCACTTTAAGGCATTCGCCACATTAGGACGCTTCAGGAACGAAGCGCAGACACAAACACATCGACACGAATATAGATTGGGACTGTTTCGAGACCGCGCTCCACATCGCAGGAGTCAAACGCCGCAACGCACCCGATTCAAATGATCCAGATCGCTCTCAGACTCCCGCGGAGCTTGCTGTTGAGCTGATCATTGGAAATCGGGCAGGGGAGAGGTGGAAAAGTAACACAGGCAAACGTTGAAGAGATTTCCGTCAAATAGGGGCTGTCGTCGCCGTTGGTGTCGCGGTCCACTCGCCTGACTGGTGCGCGGGCGGCATGGGATCGGTTCCCGCTCGGTGACGGTGCGGATGCGGGTGTGAATGGTTGTTTCGAACGTCATTTCCATGTGCTTTTTATTGAAGCGATTTTCAAATTGCAAATCAGATTTGGGGGCAAAACGATGGGGGATTTCACGACAAGGCCGTATCTGCTTACTTGGTAAAGCGGATCTCCAGATGGGAGGTGAGGTACTCCCTCGGTGTGAACGTGTGCTCCCACACCGCCAAGTTGGGAACGTAGTTGATGGAGAAGCAGAGTTCCGATAGGGCTGTGTGCAATTTGTCCAGACTGGAGGAGGAAGAACGACACGGCGTGCGTCAAGAAGGAACAAAAGTGGCCGTGGGGTTCACCCTTGAGGCACCTGAGCATTTCATCGGGTGAACCTTCAAGCTCTTCAGGACCACAAATAGTCCCCGTTATTTCAAAGAAAAAAAGACCTCACCTTCAGCACATCAGATCTTTTCAAAAAAGTTGATCATTTATCTGCTGTTTTCATTTTGCCCTTTTTGTCACAAGAAGCGGTGCGACCGCGTGCTTACTTGGTGACGAGTAGTCGGTTCTTCCTCATGCTCTCCACTCCCGGTTTCTCTCTCTCCGGCTCGCCTTTCTTTCCCGTGGCCTTCTTGCTCTTCTTGTTGACGGCCTGGCTGATGGTCTTGGCGCAGTGCTTGGGAAGCAGCTGCCGGGAAGGCGGGTCAGCCGGACAGATGGGACAAGATTGCCGGGTCGGCCGTGAACCGCGTTTGACGCGGCGCTCGGCTTTGAGCGCAGCCGGCGGAGAGCTCACCCGTCAACTTAAGAGGCTTTTTACGTCACGCGCCCACAAAAGAATGTGACAGCGAGCATTAGGACACAATGGCCGTTTAAATGCCATCGCAGCTTTTGGGTGGCTTTTAGGGTCTTCGTCGTGACTTTAATTTGCTTGTAAACAATTCGAAGATGGAAGGCGCCATGACGGAGGTGGCTTCGCACACCCAATAAAATTTCAAACTTTTAGACGCCCGACTAACGCCGGGCAGCAAGCGACTGCAGCCGTGCCATTTGTTTGAGGTAACGCGAATATGGAGCCAGTTCTCCAATTCGAGAAAAGATCAGCTTCGCGCGATGAATGGAACCGTCACATCTGTTTTCTCCGGCGCTCGTCAAGACCGCATCGATCGGCACTTCCTACCTGGTCACTCAGGGTGCACTGCTCCGTGCAGATATCCGTGATGAGGTTTCGGGCTTGTTTGGCCATCTCGTCCAGAAACATGTTACACAAGGACAAGCTGCGGTCGCCTATGTGGTGCCGCTGCAGGGACGGAGCCCAGGACACAATGTGGACAGATGCCACGCGCCACGCCGGGCAGATCGGGATTTGGCGCGTGCGCGCTCACCTCCTCGGGACAGAGCTCGTGGGTGCACGACATGAAGTGTGTGCAAAGCAGAGGGAAGCAGATGGAGTGGCGGCTCTGCGAGGGAAGCTCCAAGCACTGCTGGAACATTTTCTCAAACGCGCGGCTGTAGAAGCTGCGCACACACAACGCGAGAGCACACTTTGAAATTCATGGACTGATGAGAGCTGGCCGTTTAGTGGAAGGTAAATAAATGTCTGGCGAATGTGGGTTCTCCTTTGAGCGCCGTTCAAGCCACCGAAGGCCGCAGAGCGCATTGTGAACGCTGACCAGAATATGGAGAGGTCAGAGGTCTCCACCAGCATCTCCACCAGCGAGTCCACCATCTTGGTATGGAAGATGATGGTGTTCATCATTTTGCCCAGCTCCTTGTGGTCGGCGATACCCAGGCTGGCCTTGGACACGCTGGTGTAGGCCTGCACAGAGGAGAGGAAACGGCGCTTCGACGTGTTGAACCGAAGAAATGACGCAGAAGAATTCATGACGCAGATTGACAATTATGAGCGTTTGGAGAGAGAAAGAGAGAGAGAAAAAGAGAGAGTGGCCCATTCCAACCTGCAGTCGAAACCAGTCGAGCCTCATGCCCCGGAAGTCAAAGACCTCGCCATCCTCAACTGCAAAACACAATTCCCACTCAATTACGCCATCTTTAATGGAGAGTTTCAAGGTTTCGTCCGGCTCACCAAAAGATCACCGGTATCGCTGCGCTTACCTTGTTTGACGCTGAGCGAGGTCATCGTGTTGACGAATGAAGACATGATGATGGACTCGTCCTCTGGGCACACAGACAGGTTCTGGCAGACACAAAGCGCAGGGCTCCACTTACAAACGAGAAAAGCGCAACTTGACTTCCGAGGGCTCTGACATCAGTTTTTTTTTTTTTTCTGAGCCACAAGCCGTCACAAGCTTCAGAGATGATGGAGCGAAGAGAGCAAAAAGACGTGGAGCGCAGATCCTGTGATGCCCTTGCGGTTGCCGATGCGCTTTCAGCCATTTAGTGAACGGGAAAAACAACGGGGCACGCAAATAGCCTAATGAAAAGACTCACAAGGAGCCACTCTGACAGGACCGGCCAATTCTGGACCAAGTCTGAAAAGACGTTTAAATGAAAAGACTCACAAGGAGCCACTCTGACTACAGCTCCTGACGCCAATCTCTTGGTCACGGCTCTTAACTCATTCAGTACCAGCCAATTCTGGACCAAGTCTGAAAAGACGTTTCAAAACGTCTTTGGGAGTCAATGAGTTAAACGCATGCGTGCCACGCCCGAATCCCACACGACTGTCGCTTTTCCAAGAGGCTTTTCTCCTCAAATCGTGTAAGCCACTTGAACATGGCCGACGCATTGAACGGAGGCAAATCCAAACACCTGACTCACGCTTCCAAGAGGTATCGCTCCAAATCGAGTATGCAAAAGCTTGAAAAAGGATTTGGAAGTTGCGTAGCTGGACGCGTGTACCACCTGCACCAGCTCGTTGAGGACGACGGCGTCGAAGCCGGACAGGTACTGCACGTAGTATCGCTGCATGACGGGGCCGTACTTCCTCACGTGGGCTCGCAGCTCCTCCATGTAGAAGATCAGCTCGGCAATGTGTCTGGTCGACAAAAGGACACGCGTGAACGCATACCGGCGCGGAGGCGTGCGCCCAAGGACCGCGTTTCCGGCGCCTACTTGTCGATGAAGTCGTCCGTGCTTTTCTTCTGGATGTTGTCCGCATGCCGAAGCAACCAGATGATCTCGTCTCGGGCAAACGACAACGCCATGAAAACAAATAACGCCTAAAAAGGGCAACACGTTCATTGGGACGATGTTAATACGCACGATAAAATGCCGTGCGCGTTCGGCGCCGGCTTAAAAATCGGCGACGTCGCAGGGGCGCAAACGATGAAACGGGGGGAGCAACGCCGCGCTACGTGCGGCCAACTGAGATGATGTTCCCGAGGCCGTGGCTCGGCGCTACCTTTGGACCCAGCAGGCCCGGCTGGTCCGCCAAGACGGTGGCCAGCTCCTTGAGGGCGGACCTGAGGAACTTGCGTCGCTCTCGGTGCATGGAGCCTCTGAAGAGTCGGGCAGACAGAAGGAGGAAGTCAGAGCCCCGGCCCCCCGGTTTACACGCCGCGATGACACTTTGAGGACAATCCTCGCCAGGCACCAAAGTGAGTAAATGACAGCCGTGGCGGGAAGACGGAGAACGGAGATGAAAGCGGCAGACAGATTAAGTACGGAGGATGAAATGCGGGGAAGACGAGGAGGGAACAAAAGAGAGAAAAAAGGGAAGGCGACACACACAACCGAGTCAGACGACCCAAGAGAGATGAGACGAGCGGGTCGCAAACGCAGAAAAGGAAATACAAAAAAAAAATGTAGGCGACTAAATAAATCCATTCGGTAAGTGTGAAGAACAAAAAGGCGACGCGATGGCCGCTGGGGAGGAGTGTGCTCGTACGCGTGAGACAGGGCCTGTTCCTTGCACTCTCTGATGTCGTTGATGCGCTTGTTGTACCTGCAAAGCACAAAAGGGGAACGCGAGTCATTGAAATGCTGCCTTCCGTTTTCTAGTGCGTTTGCGTGGAGAGGAAAAAGGATTGAAAACTTGCTAGCAAAGACCTTTTTTTTTTGGAACCCCCCCCCAAAAAAAAGGCATGCCCCCTTTTACCCTCGGATGTTGACAAAGAGGTCCTCGGCAGCCTTGTGGATGTGGAAGACTTCGTCCCTGAAGAGACAGAGACAGGTGGAGCTCTGCAGCGCCAACTTCCACAGCGACAAGGCGCCGGCGTCGCTGTTCAGTACCGCGTGGCACAGGATGAAGCCGACTGGAAACGAGAAAACAGGACCGAGTGAAGCAGGGAGAGCTGAGTCGGGACACAAACGTCGGCCGGCGTCGCCTCCCGCCCGACTGGAAACGAGAAAAGAGGACAGAGTGAAGCAGGGAGCTCAAGTCGGGACACAAACGTCGGCCGGCGTCGCCTCCCGACTCACAAACGATCCATTTCTCCATGGCGTCCAGGGATAAGTATTCGCAGGGCATCTGGAAAGAGGCACAAAGTCACACTTACGAGCCCGTCGACGTGATCGGAAGGAAATCGGGGTTCAAATGTCTTTCGGACTCACCGTGTCTGACTGCGCGGGGTTGAGCATGGTGGAGGGGGCCGAGATGAGCGAGAGCAGCTGGGCGTTCCTCCACTGGTCGGCGGAGAGATTCCTTCTGGGATAGACCATCTGAAGGCTGATCAGGGCGTCGGACAGAGACTGCGCAAACAGGACCACGCAAATTCAGCGGAAGCTCATTTTGGCGCGTATTGCGCTCATCGCAGCTTTTGACTGGACTTGTACTCGATCTGAGAAAAGCGGTCGGTGCATTCCTGCTGGAGTGTGGCTCAGGATCTTTCAAAATCCTTGCGTGAAGAACATTTGTGGCTATGTCACCCCCATACATCTTTCACAGGTGCAAAAGGAATCGATTTGTCACCATTGTCTTGTTTTTTTTTTTTGTTTTCCAGACCCGTCGTTCTACTCTGACTGCTAATGTGCAAATGAGCATCGACAAACTACCTTCCCGTGTGGCACAAACTCCTCCATCAACTTCTTCAGAGGGTTCTCATAATCCACGATCATCTGGCCCAGCCTGGGGTACTCGCGGTCACTGCGCCAAACACACACACACACGTGAGAAGTCACGTCACTCAACGCGTAGAAGTTGCAGCGCGTTGCGCTCACCTGGCTCCGTGCGTCATCTCGTGAGCATAGTTGTACAGGCCGATAATGGCTTTCCTCTCCTCGATGCGTGACAGTATAATCATGAGCGTCGTGTAAGTCACCACCAGGTCAAGATAGTTCTTGGTCAGGTCAAAGTTCACCGTCTTGACAGGAAACAAAACAGTGTCGTCACGTCCACCGCGCGCGTGGCAAAAGATGAGCTCCCGGCGAGGAACGCACTTACGATGTCAAAGAAAACTTGGCACGCGTCGATGGTGTTGAGCAGCTCACACACGTGGTCCTGTCAATGCACAGCGAGACGTTGGCATACACGCGCTCACAGCTCAAAAGCACGCCGTCGTCAGTCTGCCAACCTTAAATTCCATCACATCCACGAAGGTAAAGTAGTAGAGAGCCAAGTTCTTCAGAATCTCCGACTTCTCCTTCTGCAGCTGAGCCAACTGTTGCTGCAACATCACATTAGAGTCACAACACGTCACGAGAACGGACACTGTCACATCGACGCTCATTTTAGTTGGGACGGATGGGGGGGAGTGACTTTTTCACTGACTCGGAAATAAACACCAAAATGCACGCGTCATCATTTCCTTCATGTAAAAGTTGAACTAATATAAACCAGGTAATCACACACACACACACACACACACACACACACACACACGCACACACGCACACACGCACACACGCACGCACGCGCACGGCGCAGAGTATTTTTCAGACGTGCAGTGGCCGCAAAACGTGCGAGGGTTTGAATTTGGACTCTGGCCTTTCTGTGTGGATGCAGCTTGCGCCCGTGTTCCCAAAACATGCATATTCGACTCGAAATTGTCCAAAGGGGTGAGAATGTGAGTGGCACTGCTTTTCTGTCTGTCAGCTGTCGGTTTTAGCCTCGTGGCACGCGCAGCGTAAAGCAGCTGCTTCAAGCAGCTGCTTCAAGCATCCATGGAGCCAGCCTAGATGTACTAGACTACAGACTGTTTCAAAAAAAAAAAAAAAATGGAGCCAGCCGAGCAAAGCAAATGGAATAAAAATAGCCTCAAAACATGGAAAATAAACAACTACAGTATTACAAAACTCAAATGAAATACACAAACTTACCAAAAAGCACAAGTCCGGAATAAGCCAGGATTAGCATGCAAAACAAACACACACAGAAACAGAAAACAACATAAGAGACAATTTTTGCACATTTATATCGAAGAAAGCTATTAGCCAGACGTAGGCGCACGCTCACACACACACAAACGCACACGGGCGTGCGCACGCTCGACATAAGCACACGCGCCGCAAGCTAAAGACACATTTGCTGCGGCCAAGTAATGAGTCTCCACGAGCCCAAACACTGTTTTTACACAAGCGTTTCCGAGTAAATGTTGCGTTTCCGACCAGACGCTGGTTTTACGAGCGCTTCGCACAACAAAAAAAGCATCATCATAAAAGGCTAAAAGATCTGGGAGGGACGCTCACAGCAAGACAAGAACCATTTGGCATCACGGACACTGCCGGCCACGATTCCAAACGAGCCGCAGGCACACTCACGTTGTTGTTGCGTGTCTCCACGGCAGGGAACTTCCTGACGATGAACTTGACGGCAGACTCCAGGTTCTTGTCCACCAGGTAGGAGGGCTTGGCCTTGGGGTCTCCGCAGGCCTGAGGAGGAGAAGACACATCAGGTGAGGAGCGCGGGAGCAAAAGGGAAAAAAAAAAAAACAATTCAAGCTTTTGTTGCATTTCATTTGTCTTGAGCCGTCTAACGGCGTGTGGCTCCAAAAGTGGACGCTGGTTCATCCAAGCGGGTGCGTGAGTGGCCACGGGCCAAGTCGACACACATGAAAACGGAGGCAAAGTTGACGTGCTGCCCTGTGCGTCGACACCCAAGATGGACATGAATACGCACGGGGTTCATTTCCATTTTGCACTCTGCTCGCAAAAATGGAAAGTTCTGCACGTCCGTGTGTGGGTTTTCACGTGCGGTGAGGTGGCCCTGAATGATCTCCGAGACCCAATTTCCTCAAATGGTGGCCATGCATCAGCTGCTTAAGGTGACCGGATGCTTTACTTCTCCCATCAGGAATGACATTGGTCGCAAGTATCGTTTCCTCGGTTCATATTTGCTTTTTTGCCCCCCCACGCCATACACGGATTTTAAAGCGTCACCTGCGAAGACGGTTTACGAGGCGAAGCGGCGTGCAAATAGCGAAGCGTGGATCGGTAGCCCATGTTGTAAACGACTTCCCCGCGGTGCAGAATGAATGATCTTTTGCTGATGTGACGACAGCATCTTTAAAAGTGATGACATGACAGGTGGCGCCTCCACAATGTTGCGCGTCTGTTTATTTCTTTCTCTCTCGGTTTTTGCCGTTAAGTTCACGAAATAAATAGCCGACATTCTCCCTATCTGCAGTAGAGTACGTCAATGTCCTTGGCCACTATTTGTGGAAGTATGGCATACGGCGGCACCTACTACAACTTTACAAACGCCTTGTTATTCCTGCGCAAACTCGCCGCATTCCAATGTGAAAAAAATTTCACGTGAAAATTCACCAATTCAGGGCGTTAGCAAGCGAACCTCCTGAGCTGTTTAGCCTCCATACCAATGGAGGGCGCCGTGTGTCATTGTGGCCTTGCAGACATCCGACCGACGGAAGCAACGCAGGTCATGCATCATGGGTCGTGTCGCCGGGGAACGGCTAGCAAGCGGCGGTTCACGCGTGTGCCATCGACCGACTGATTATCAAGGAATAAGAACTTCCCTTCGACTTGGATTTTGTAGTCGTGATAAAAATTGTCGTTGTAGAAACTCACAGCGGGGGGCAGTGCGCCAACTGTGAGCACACCACTGCTAAGATAATCGCGTACTTCAAGCGACAAAACAACAACACACATTTGGCAACCCCCAATAAGCATCTGAACCAAAAAAAGCTCAAGCACCACAATACAAATCAACACAAACGACACCATCCGATTTCTGCACGGGGGGCGGGGGACGGATTCACTGTTGAGCAAAGCCCGATTCTCCTCACAGCAAGGTGACTGTCTGTTTGCTAGCCAAGCCAACAATAAGACAGGCTAAGATGTGATCGTTCATGTCTACATGAAGCTAATTCATCTCCCCCGCCACCTCAACGCTAATGAAACTTAGTATCCGAGCACCGCCGTCACAATGCCGTTGTATCAAATTACAAGGGACAGTCATTCTCGAGGCCGGAACGTCAAACGCTCTCTTTTCTCTGTTCCAATGATGGTGCAACGCGGCGACCGATTGGCCCCCCAATCAAATTTGACGACGTGTGCGTATTGCAGATGCGGATGTCATGGCACGGGAGCTTCCCGCATGCATTTCGAGTCAACGGCTCGGTCATTCCACAGTCAATGGAAAGTGGGCGGAAGAGGGCGTCGTGGGCTAAAACATGCAAGAGCTCCAAATTCTCCGCCAGGAAACACCTTCACGTCCGCAGCCGTCGAGTGTAGTTGATTTCGCATGAATTGGATTCAACTACGACTGCGGGATTTCACTGACATGGAGCGCGAGAGTGCGTCAAGCTGTCCGGCTTCATGGAGGGGGGGGGATGGGATGGGATGGATGGAGGAAAGGAAGGAGGGAACGGCGCAGCCAATGGAGGGGACGGCGTGGAAATAAGTGGGCGTGGTGCAGGGGTGGGGGCTGGGGGGGAGTGAGGAGCGTGCGAGTGGTTGTCAGGATACCAGAACAGACCATCTTTCCTCGGCTTGCAGCTCCCGCTGGCCTTCTTGAAGGGGTCCACGCGTCAACCGATCTGAGCGCTCCCTAGCTATGATCAGCCACGTCCATGAACTACGTGAGAATGTTTTGTTTTTTTGAAGAATGTAATCTGTGTATCAGTTCATTGACTGGTCTTAAAGTAACGGCGGACTCCAGCGTGTAAGCCTGATTAGGTAGCTGCCTAAGCGGGTGCAGGCGAAATTGAAGTCAACGCAAAGTGTTGCCAAGTGAAGTTTGCCGCATCAAAATAATGTCTATGGCTACAAGCTCTGGAGGGTAAATCCAGCATGGTTCCCCACGCTGGCAAAGTTTGTGATCTTGTGCTGGTTTTATGGCCACTGGAAATGTGTGCGCTTTCTGGCTAAGTGGGACAACCGTACAAATAGTCGGAAGAGCACAACTTTAACTACTGAAATGAACGGTCAAGTATCTCACTGACGTTGCGATATCATTCATTGTACTGTGAGGACGGTCGCTGTTGTTACGATTGTGTGCAACGCGCTGAGGCCCTTTAGAAACGATTTCATCCCTCAACACTGTCTGGATTTAATCACGAGAGCAAATATAACACATGCCCTAAACTCTAAGGACTCTCAAATCTGGACTAGTCGCCCACTGTCGGCACTGCGCAAGGTTTGACTGACCGGATTTAGTTTTTAATTCATCACATCAAACGTAAGAGAATTTGAGCAAATGTAACACATGCCCGAAACTCAAGGACTCTCAAATCTGGACTAGTCGCCCACCGGCACTGCGCAAGGTTTGACTCACCGGATTTCGTTTTTAATTCATCACATCAAACGTAAGAGAATTTGCTTTGTCGAGTCGACGTGGAGGGAGCCCACAGTGGTCAATTGAAACACAAATAAGCACAGAGGACCGACAGATAAGTACAGGTAGCCAGGAGGGGAGGTAATGGAAGGAGAGAAGGGTGGGACTGGGGTGGGGTGGGTGTAGAGGGGTGGGGCGGTCATCAGTGGAAGGTGATAAACTTTGCAAACCTTCCAAACTTGTCCTTGCTGCATAGGAGAGGGGGGAAGCATTGGAACGGAGAGAAGAAGAGAAGAAATCAAAACCACCCAGCCAGACAAACGACTCAACACACACAGCATGCACGCACACACTCGCGGCGAGCATGCATTGGTTTACGCACGTGTTGCTTGCTGCATTGCCGCAGTTCTCCACAAGACATTAAAAAAAGGACACCCGCCGCGGGAGCATTCGATCGTTACTCAACACCGGCTTGACGCACGCTGACTTGCCACTAACACGCCGAGTAGCATCCCTACCACCGCACTCGCCGGGAAGTAACACATCCATTTTGAGTGTAATATGGCCGACACTCGGCACAAAAGTTAGGCCCCCTGCGCTTTTTTTTCCCTCCACATTTTGGGGGAAGGCTGTTGCCTAGTAACTGGCAGGCAGCGAGCGTTCCCTCAGCATCCGTGCCGACGGCCACTTGGCCGCTGTCGGTGTCCTCGTACAGCTTTGGATCTCTGCATGTCTCTCTTCAGTGCAACAACAATGACGGTGGGACCCCGGTTCACAAACTTTGTTCTTGGGCCGCGGCTACCGAATCATTTTAAAGTGAGTATCCCATCGAGTAATCAGATTTTGCATCGTTAAACACAATACTATGCGCATGTGTGGTGCAGGTCTTATTTTGGTCATCTTGGGCTCACCATCCACACGCTCTACTCTCGTATCTGTGACTTGGGAGTGCGTATGGCTTTAAAAGGCCGGATCTAGCCTGGCGAGTGACGTGGGTGTCAGCCAATGAGATTGTAGAGTTGGCTCGCTCACTGCTAACTGCCCGTCAGGTGACTCGGCGCAAGTTGCGGCCATAAAGGGGCGTGACGATACATGCGAAGAATATTCACTTTTCTCACATCAAAAGGTCATAGAAATGATGTGGTGGCATACGCAGATCTCTCTTGTGAAGTGTGAAATGATTGTAAATGTTTGACATTGCCTGTCCCGGACCCTTCCTCCAAAGGCATTTATGGCATTACGCCAACTCATTTCAAACACCGATAGGTGGGTCAAACTGCAGTCAAATTGTTCCTCGTGGCAAAGTGAGTCGTCGTAGAGCAAATTTAGAGCACCAAAAACAAAAATGCACTGAGTGAAGGACGAAAGATTTTTGGGGGTTTGTTTGTTTTCCATGTAAAATATGCGCCTTGACTCAAAACAAAGCTTGGTACACACCGCATTAGGACAGTTGAGAAGAACTGCACATCTTCCCATGAAAATGAGTAAAACTAAATGGAATGATTAGCACGGTGGGAATCACGTGCAATACTTTCAATTATGATACAGAGAACGCGCCAAAAAAAAAAACGATTCAACATGTTCTTCGATACTTCAAGTCCATCGTATTTTATCAGAGGAGCATCACCTCCGAGATAGGACGCATTGAGTGAAGTGGTGGAATTCACTTTTAGGATTTGCAGAGTTGATACAACTGTGTTTCTCGGAATCTGATGGATGGAAACTATTACAATATTATTTGTCTCACACCTAATAATCTGGCTACTTGACATCTTTTAGTGATGTCTCCTATCTCCCTACCAAAAAAAAAAAAGCTTCACAACTTGCCAACCGTTACTTTGTCGTCATCAATAGCATTAGATGAGGAAAAAAAAAAAGATCAATAATTGAATATGCTATCTTGCAGCCATTATCTCCAACGTCAACCGTGACTCATTGCGATTTTTGTTCAACCGGTTGCCAGTGACCCCCGATTCCCCCCCTCGGGTGGGCCATCGCATCAGCCTGAGGCCGGCCGGGCAGGCTCCGTATTCCGGAACAGTCTGTGTAGCAAGGAGGCACATTTAGTTTGTATAGTTGGAGAGGGACAAAGCGCACAACAGCGGGGGTGGGGGAGAGTCGTGGCGTCATGTAACTAACACGATCCATCGGAACAACTCAAATGTGAAAAACGAGAAGAACGGGACGGGTGCTCAGACCGCAAACCCATCTTTGTGGTACAAAGTGACTCGAGTACTTTATTATTCAGTGGCTGGAATTGAAAATAAACAACTGGAGATGGTGACGGCTTCACTCTGCACTGCAGTTGTCCCCGTCCAATCATGTAATTATCAGTTACTCTGTATCAGCTGGGACACACACACACACACACACACACACACACACACACACACACACACACACACAAACATTGCATGACTATCAGTTTCAAAAGATTTTGGCCCACATGCAAAAAAGTGGGTTGGCTAACTGGGATTTTGGATGCGAATGGGTTTCAAAAAAGTGAGTTTTTGTTTCTTTGCGATTTTAAAACGTTCTGCGAACTCACAAAAAAAAAAAAAAAGTCTTTTGTGGCCAGAATTACCAATTTTTCTATGGGAAAATGAAAGCAAAATGAGCATGACGAGGAGCAAGTGAAAGGGACAGAGGGACCGTTCCCACCAAATCAGGCCAAAGCAACGTGGCTAATTGTGTCTGTGGGGTCCTTCGTTCTCATTAATCTGACCATTCCTTGGACTGCTCAGCATGAATGGTCTGAAAAGAAAGACCAGTGTGAGCGAGCAGACTAACGGCTTTTCTTTTCGACCATTCCTCTCTCCCTTTTCATTCACAAACAATATAAGCCGTCACAGACTCATCCCCAGAAAAACCCAACATTTCTATCGCCCTCACAGAGCAGCCTTCAAGACCTGACACCAACGTTCACGAGCAAGTCATTACCAATATAACCAAACCTGCACTTTTTTTTTTTTACAAACACAATACTTTGGGGCAAACATAACAGTACAACTATATGACAACTGCACACAGCCGCCCTTTGGGGATGGAGGGGGGGGGGGGTAAACTCCCATAATTGAGCAAGCATCATTTCTCTTACTTTTTGGATTGAAAATCATGTGTATATTTTGGAATAATACCAAGCTATGCAACTGTCAAAAAAAATGCATGAATGAATTCACTTCTTTACTCTATCTAAAAGTTGTTTTCAATTCAGGAGTTTCAGTGTGATTTAAAAGGTGTTTGTAACTTTATTGTGCAAAAAAAAATGGTAAACGGAACTGAAAGGAGATGGGTTTCTGTTGGAGAAAATGTTTCAAATGATGCAATACAAATGGAAAATTGTGATTCACTTTTTCTTTTCAAATTACTTGTTCACAAAGCTGTTTTTGAAGAGCGGAAATCATGATCTGTCTGTGATGTAGTCCCTCCCCCTTACATTTTGGAGGCAGGTAGGTTAATTAAAGAATGTAAGTTTGGAAAAAAAAAGGCTAGGTATAGAAGCTTTTTCAAAATGTTCTAAATTATTGGTGCGTTGTTCTTGGCTAGCAATGCGCACTCCAAACAGACGTTTTGACAAACTGTCATTTTGGGGGTACTTGTCACGTCACCAACAGTAAACGGCAGTACTGCAACATGCCAAGATCTGTTTTTTTTTATATATTTATGTATGTATATACGTATGTGTGTGTGTGTGTGTGTGGCATAAATTGTTTTGTTTTGTTTTTTTTTAAAGGCCGTTTCTTATTTGCCTCGTTAACGTGGGGGAGTATAAATAGGCTAAGAGCTCCTGACTGGTGTGACAGCGGCCAGCCCACTGGCCTGCGGCCGTGCTTGAGCTCTCCTCTTCGGGCTTCTCGCGGTTGTGAATTAGGCGGAGCCCGGCTCGTTCGCCTAGCCTAGCCTAGCCGACACCCTCCGCCATTAACACAACATTAAGCGACGCTAGCTCGGCGCCAGGCCCCGACGCTTGTAGTTCGGAGTCCGGGTGTGGATATTTAATCGCCCTCGTCGTCGTTCTTTTACTAACCACTGACAATATGTTAATTCTATTGTCCCTGCATAATAAACGCCTCGAAATAGTCGTGAATTCGCTCTCGGGCGCAAGGGGCCAACATTACCGCAAGCTAACGCTGTTAGCCGCAACTGTGCCCACCGTCAGCCACAAACATGGCAAATTAAGGCTAACTCTCTCGCTTGTTCCCTCCGTTATGAGGGAATTCGTGACGCTTATTACATAGAGAAAGTCGAAGGGTAGCCCAAGATGTCGATACTTTGCATACAATGCCAGCTAATCGCGCATTCATTGCACTAACGTACGTTGGTTGATACAAGCGGCACCGGCTTTCGGGTGCAAATGTTCAGATCGCCATTCAAGCTTGTCCATGTGCTTCGTATGCGCATTCAATGTGTGAGTGTGCGCACCTTCTTGATATTGTAAACACGGGTCAGCATCCCGATGCCTCTGTCGTTGAGGATGGTGAGCTTTTCGGCCAGCTTCTGCTGGCTGGGCTGGATCACTCCCCGAGACATCTTGGAGCGCCTCGATCACCACAAATCAGTCGGGAAAAGAAAAAAAGCACGGGTATAAAATCACAAATGTCCACAGTCTCGGCTTGTCTGTTTGTGGCGTTTGCGTAGGAATTAGATTTGGGCCATGATCAGATAGCCGAGGACAGCGGCAGCTTCCTGTACTCCACCCACCGTCGCTCCAGCCGCTCGCCCTGTTTTTTTTTTTTTTTTTTCTCGGTCACTAGGATGATTGGAGTGGAGGCGCTCCTGTTTCCACGTTGAGGCGTTCACGGTCAGTGCACCTCGAGTGGCGTCACGAGTTGCACAGAACTGGTTGCTAGCTAATCGCAGGGCACACATGGACAAGCAAGCGTTCGTACGCACAATCAAACTTGAGGACAATTTCGAACGTTCAACTAACCCACAGTGCATGTTTTTGGAAGGTGGGAGGAAAAAATGAGTACCCGGAGAAACACCGCATGGGCACGAGGCGAATATGTAAACTCCTCACAGGAAGGCAGGGGCCGGAATCGAACCCCAAACCTCTGCACTGTGATAACCATTATTATCTATCCCCGTGCCCGCATGCAGCCTTTTCTCCGAATACTCTGGTTTCTTCTCACGTTCCCAAAACATTCATGGTAGCTTGATTGAACATTCGAAATTGTCCCAATGTGTGATTGCCATGGCATGACTTTATTAAGGCTGTTGACGCGTGAAAACGATGCAATGATAGTAAATTACAGCAATTCTGTAAAAAAAAAAAAAAAAAAAAAAAAAAAGATTAGGCCAAATATTTCTGCAGAAATGTGAAAGACTCCTTGCCCGTCATAGAAAAGGCTTGATTAAGAAGGCCGCAAATGTCTTTTTTTTCATCACGGGACTGTGTCAACCAAGTGCCGTTAGAAACAAAGAACAGAATTGAGGAGGAACTCAAAGGAATTTTACCAAGAGAAAACGGAAAATTCAGATTTTGCATATTGGCATTAGGCGAATAAGAGCGATTCTGCTTATTTTACAGTCAGATTGTCACGTAAAAGTGAGAAGTGATCTGGGGTAGTCACCATATCAGAAAGAAAGAACTACATGTTTACTTTTTCTTGTAGATGAGCCGTGTCAGACAATGGAGAAGAAATTCTCCGTCTGGTTGATATTCACTTTTCCTACCTTTCTCTAAGACTGTGAATGCATCCTATGACGTACTTCCGGCTTCTCTGCCTGTGTAGATCTTGAACATTGTCGATGCAATTGGCGAATTTTGTTTTTCTCCCAATTTAGTTCTTGACGGCATCCGCTTAAGTGTTACGAAAAGGCTTTTGGGACCGCGATAATAAAACTTTCTCGTTGCATGTTGTTTCAAGAATCCTCCTGCATGTTTTAAATGAGGCGAGTACACGAATCGTTTTTAACTACCTCCAAAGCTACGTTTTGGGCTCTTACCTTGTGTTTTACTCATAACTATAACTAACTACATTTTAATATTATGTCGGGAAAAAAGCGACGGATTTGAATAATTAAGTGTCATTTGTAACGCAACTTGTAAATACTTGAAATTGAAGTAAATTACACCATGATTCCAAAATTATACTGTCACAAAGTTTGCTTACCTTGCAATTTGTTCATAGACGCAATTAATCGAGCCCCCCCAAAAAACAACTTTCTTTTTTGCTAAACTTGCTAAATTTCTCCATGTTGCATCTCTTACAGCTTTATTTGGTCCTCCTGCGATGCAGTCACTGTCCGGGGAGATCCAGGGCTTCTCCAAAAGCCGCCTGAGGAAACAGTGCACTCGCGTTACCACGGTGACGGGCAGGAAGCTGTTGGAGAGGACCACCGATGGTGGCACACAGGTGGAGGAGCTGGAGGACGCAAACGGATGCGGATTTGTGGAGGATAAAAGTCTGGACCTTCAAGTTGGAGTGGTTCGACCCTTCTTACTGCTGGGTAATCAAACGGAACAGTAGCCCACATGCATCTTCAACTACAAGTCTCTTCATAGCATTGATCATTTTATCCTTACATTAGAAATTGCACTTATTCAAAATGCTACGCAATAGGAGCCTCTCCAAAAACGATGTTTATTGCCACCTGAAGTTGACTGTCTAACCAAACAGAAAACAAAGAGAATTACATGTTGATTGAACCAAACCATATAACCTTGCCTTACTCAAGTCTGCTAGCTTAATGCTGACAGCGTTACAACCCAAACGATGGCGCAACACATGTCGACAGGCATTATGACAAGACTTCTTATCCTCTGCAGAAAATGGCGCATCATACTTGAGATTAATTGAGGCCTTGATGATTGGAACTCCCAATGTTTTGAGTTACAGGTTCACGGAAACGGATTAAACTTGTATCTGAAGGCACCGGGATCTATGGACTGAAATGCAATACAAAATGAATAAACAATAAAGCAGCACATTATGAGGAGACAATTAAAACGAGTAACTGCAATCCATCATTATTTATGTAGGGCTTTCACAATAGCTGCATCGACAAGACACCAGAAGAATGCGTCCCCGCGATATTCAATTCACACTGTCAGAAGCGTACATTAAAATGTTATCGACGGTATTTATTTATTCATTTCTAATGTATTGCTTAATATTCAGGAGTGAATCAGTGGCACCAAGCGGTCAACCGTGCCTCAAGCTAAAGGTCAACATGCTTTATTTGTTTCATGTAGCTGCCAGTCGCCTGCACAAAGTCTGTCCGTCAGGTCCATTTAGACCAACGGAAATGCTTGCATGCATTTCTTGGATGCCACAATTCAGGTTGCGCTAGCCATGAATCATGTCAACGCACACAAGAAGGAAACACGATCATTTTCAAAGTCTATTTCTACACGATGTCGCTGCAGTACATTTTCGTGGATCTCTGTTTCATAAAAAGTATACGGGAAAGAAACTAACCAAATAACACCAGCCGGTGGGGCGCGAACACAGTTGTGCCTTGCATACGAGCGCATCCCGTCGGAATGTCCTTGAGCCTGACACCCAACTCCCCGACAGCTCGGCGTGGCCGTTCAGTTCCGTAGACGCACACGTAACCCTTCACCTGGAAGACAAGCCAACTCTTCAGCGGGGATCAATATAAATATTGCATCTGTTCGGCTCAATAAAAGTGAGCGTTTCCTTTACGGCACATTAGTTCTAACGGCTTTGACGTGGCGCTCATTTTTCCTGCGTGTCAGCCAATCGGTGTCAGCGCGCGCCACGAAATCCGGAAGGACGCTACAACCTGCTCGGCAGTGTCGGTGTCAGCAGTTTCTCTGGTCATAAAGTCAATAAAAGACTGGAAAGAGACGATTCCAGCCCCCGCCCCCCTTCTTCTACTGTGCGAACTCATTTAAAGATGACACACTTCCCCCACGTACACCACAAACGCTTTCCACTCTCCTTGTCCATTTTTATGAAAGACGAACACTTTAATTTTCCCTCTGAGGAGACATTCACTTTTACACTTATTTTTCCTGACATGCCCAAACACAACTCGTGGGGGACATTTTTGATTTGAGGAGCGTTGGCTCCCATTGCAGGTAATTGACGTCCCATCTCTGATACGACTCTCACGCTACCCCCGAAGATGGAAAATTCCTAGTTCGACCTCACCCATCAATAGCATTGATGGTTGCAATGACGGGAGGGCTCCAACTAACAATTCATTTGACAATCCAACTGATGATGTTTTTTTTTTTTTTTTTTTTTTAGAATCCCAAATGAATTTGATGAACAAAATATATTGACAACCCGTTCTTCAAAAACAGGACATTATTTTGAATCAACTGTCAGAAAATGCCAACACAAATTGATTGTGATTAAGTTCCCGTTTTGCGTCGTAATGCGTCTCAATATCAGCAAAAACATTTAGTTTTTTTTTTTTTTTTTAAAGAATAAACCCACATTAGTGTCCAACAGTCCACATGCTCTACCACTCAGCTGCCATGTTATTTAGTGTCGTGTCTTAATGAAGGAGGTCATTTTCTTCTTCTTCACTCTTTGCAGTTCATGCGAGCCCACGGCCGTTTTCTTTTTGTGTTTGTTTTGCTTCCAACTCTCTTTTCTGACATCATGTTTTCCTGCACTTTCAGCTTCTCAGGATGCGGCCCACGACATGGACACCTTGCAGAGATATCAGGTCAGTGGAGGAAAGAATCAATAGCGCGGGCGTGTCTTGCCGTGTGGTGATCACATGGCCGCGGGGGCATGAGATTAGACGAGGCAGACTCGTGCAGGGTCGCTCCCGCTCAGTAGGGGGAGTAAATGATCCCGGCATGGCTCCGAGGAAAGGCTCTCACTGGGGATGGCCGCTTTCAGAGCGACGCCAGTTCTGCTTTGAGGGAGGTTTGCCGGCCGTTCCCTGCTGCTTGTTGAAGCTCATGAGGTGCGACCACATTTTGCCACCTCTGAATGGCCACTTTGTCAAGAGCACAATCTGCTGAGATCGACAACAGAAGAGCTTCTTCAAAAATGTTGGCTTTATCAACAACTCTTCCAAAATGAGGGCCATTAATTTATCACTGAAAATTATGCCTCGTCCTCAAGACCATTTTCAGACCTTTGAAAGTCCATCCGAAAAATAGCGCAGCAAAAATGTTTGTGCAAGATATCTTGAGGGGATGAAAATACAGTGGAAAAAAAACACCGAGCCCAAGTCGCCCACTCCGACTAGTCATCCTTCGTGAAGGCAAGGTCTTAAAATGGATCAAAAAGGCCTAAAGAATGCTCCATGAAATCGTGAATTGGTCTTCCTTCGGATATCCCGACACAGATAATGAATAATGCTCAGTTTTGATTGATTTTCTCAAAGAAGTATTTTGCAATGTTTATTCTAGTACTATAGTGGTTGTACTTTGCATAGCTTGCGCCCAACTGCCGTCTTATGATGTCACTCGCTCAGCTGCACCCCTTAAATTCTCCATCAAATCAAGTAAAAAAAAAAAAAATGCTGATGTCTGCTTAGATTTTTGTTTATGCACCCCGATGAGGTCGTTAATCACGCAAAGTGACTGTTGTAATTTAATCCCAGCACGCACCTGTGACACGCCGCGAAGTAATTATCGCCATCGATCACATGCTAACATGCTAATGTGTGCTAATGTACCGGTATAAGAGGCCATCAGCCGGACTGACCGCGGCATCGCGGCTGCCTTTCTTTCCAAGCAGATGCGGCGGCATTCGGAGCGAATGTCATCCGTTGACCTCCCCGAACCCGCTCGTACACGTCCGGGCCTCCTTAATGAGCCACAAAAGTGCCATTCACGTTGGGCCGCCGCTCTCCATTTGCTGAACACAACACTTGCGGTGCTCTGTGAGTACACCGCAGTCATCATTTTACTCAACCCGTACTCCTGTTTTTATTGCCAGTTTGAGTTCAACTCGAGTGAAGTGTGAGTGCTTTTATAGGGGGGTCCTATTCAGCTGCCCGTAGATATACAGTACAGTGCTGGAAGGTGCATTTGGGAGCTGGGGACTTACCGTAATTAATCCACCTCCTAATACCACAGCTATCACGTTGCGTTATAAAAACCATCAATACTTAAAAAAAAAAAAAAAAAAGAAAAGAAAAAGTAAAGGGGGAAGGCAATATAAAAGCATGCCACTAGGCCACATGCATCATCCCGCAGCAGTTGACAATAAACATTGATCGAATGACAATGTTGTGTAAAATGTTCAAATGAAATACTCTCCAGAGATCGCGATTGATTAAATGTATTCATGTGTGTTATGCACGTTTTTGCTCTGACCAACCAGTCGGAGGTCGCGATATGCTGACGTCAATGAAATGGGATGGGTTTAAATAAATAAATAGAAATAGTCTCATTGCGAATATGGTCAAGTTTCCGCTTCATTTTTCTCATCTGCAAAAAAAAAAAAAAAAAAAAAAATCCTTTCCCATTTTTCTGGTTTGCAAATCAAATGCGGCGCTTGTTGGCTCACCAACTCAAATCAACAAAATACGAAACCGCCACTCCAAAGTGTTTGCCCCGGTGGAAGGCGGCGCACAAGTCTCTGTCGCGGTCGCTCTGCGCAATCTGGCAAAAGTGACGAGAGGGCAAGCGCAAAATGGGCCAGCCGTGTGATGTCAAGAGACCAGAGGAGAGGATTGCGGCCTCTGAGGTATAGTCAAGTTAAGTGAGAAAGGAGACGACGACAACGAAATGAATCGACGCCATCTGTCTCATAATAGACACTCCTCCTTTCTGCCCTTGGAAACACACACTCTCACACCTGCCTCGTTTTCCCGCTCCCTGTCAAAGCCATCGTGTCATCACGACGGAGGCTCGTTAGCTCAAGGTGCCTCATTGCCTACCGTGTCTTGCAGGTGTCGCACGTGCTCAACGTGGCCTACGGAGTGGCCAACCCCTTCCCCGATCAGCTGCTCTACAAGACCGTCCAGATCCTGGACCTCCCGGAAACGGACATCACTTCATATGTGAATGAGTGCGGCTCCTTTATCGAGCAGGCCCGGGAACAGGTACGCGCGGAGATTTTCTCGAAGAGGCGCTCTCCAGCTGTGTGTCAGGGGAGCACTTGCGATGAGCTCTTATCAACCAACGCGCGCTGTCGGCTCTGCGTGTTGTTTTTTTTAAGGGACGGCCGAAGCCCAAATTAGTTGAAAGCCGCGCATGGCTGCACCGGCGATGGTTTGATGCATCGTTTCGACATCTGAAAGCCTTCGCACCGCACTCGCGCCATGGGACAAATTATTTCGACGTTGCGGCTGGCTCCAATCTGCTACAACTACTATGGAAATGCACTACGCGTCTTGAAAAGCTGAGTTCAGTTCAACAACGCGCAGGCCCGCAACGCGTTCCCGTTCATTCCTCTCCAGCAGCGGTTTATCCGCAGTGCCGTGCAAAAAGCAAAAGCTCAGCACAAAGGCCGGGCTGGCACCAAGTCCACGTTTGAGTGTCCCTTTCTTCACCTGTGACCTGCTTTTATTGGATGGCGTTCCTGGCAGACCCCCGCGGTTCCTCCTGCGTGCCGGACAATGCGATGTGCGCGCTGACATGAAAGCACTCAGCCCGGCGCTGTCAAATAAGGACAAAACGAGAACACTCGGACCAAAAGCAAATTACGTTTCCATGTTGCCCGTGATGGATTATCTCAGCTCGGGCAATTTTCACATTGCAGCTGTTTCTTATCCCCTGAAAAAAATGAAAGCCAGGAGCCCGCTCTGTGTCACTCCGGCAAAGCCTGCGCCGATCCTGCAACGGAGCGACCTCTCTGACTGATAGTGAGTCATAAAAGATGACTATTCTTATCTGCGCGTGTGGTTTACGTTAGCCCGCGCGAGCCCTGCGGGGCTGCCGGATTGGGTTATGTTTGAAAGCAAACCACAGAAAGCAGCGATAACGTGTCTGTTACAGCAGGAATTAGATGATTTGATCATGGTGGGCATTGATTGACACGCGGAAAGAAACAAGAGGTTGGACACAGTGACGGGCGGCTCCGCGCGGCATACAAAAACGACACGGATGCGTCGACGTGGTGAGCTTTGGGTCCGTCTCAAGGTGTGACTTCATCATGGCGCTGCAGGCGGTAAAAATAATTCCGTTGGCCTTCGTATTCATCGAGCTACAAATTCACGCCGATTGCATCTTTACATCGAACTGCTAGGACGGATGTTGAAGTGAAGACTTGTATGCCGCGGAAGAGCTAACTTGAGCCCGGGCTGTTAGTGGGGAGTCTTTGCCACGTGCATGCGCATGCATACTTGCAGTGCTTTTTTTATTTTTTTATTTTTTTTTTTTTTCCTTCCTTCCCACAAATCAAATCTTTTTTCGCAAGATGTTCAGACACATGACCTCAGGGAAAGCACTCGAGTACTCCTCATCAGACCGAACCTCCTGCTCTCTCTCTCTCTCTCTCTCTCTCTCTCAACCTCCTGCGCTCTCTCTCTCTCTCTCTCTCTCTCTCTCTCTCTCTCTCTCTCTCTCTCCCCGTCTTCAGGATGGCGTGGTCCTCGTTCACTGCAATGCCGGCGTGTCCCGCTCTTCCTCCATCGTCACGGCCTACTTGATGTGGAGAGAAGGGCTTCTGTTCGACGAGGCCTTCCGCCAGGTGAAGCTGGCCAGGCCTTCAAGTCGACCCAACTCGGGATTCTACCGCCAGTTGCAGAACTACAGACCATGAGCCCTGTGTTCACTTTCAATTCCCCCTCAGGGTGTTTTTTTTTTTTTTTTTTTTTTTAAGTCCTACGGCGCCAATTCACAACCGAAGTTGTCCTTTCCATACGGAGAGGGTCAAGAAGCATGCTCCCCGTACGTTTGGATAACAACTGAACCCCACATGAGCAAGCGCTAGGGCAGGCCATGGGGGCAAGAAAGAAGTCCAAGGAAGAAACCTCCAACAAGTCAAGTCAAAGGTGAGACTGGGCTTCTCCAACTTTTTGGGTCCAGGGAGCCCATAAGGGGAGACAATTTAATAAGGAACCCCCTCCCCCGACCCCCACCCTCCACCACCCCTGATAACATTAATGGCCATCAAACGTAACCCTGTGTGCTGTACCTCCAAAAGGCCCCGAAGTTGCCTATTTTCGAGAAAAACATTTTTGTGTCATGATGGGGAAAAGCTGTTTTTTTTTTTTTTTTGGTTTTTTTTTTTAAGAGAAACGTTGCGCTGTGATGAAAATAAAGTGACTTTTTTTTCCCCCAAAGAAGAAAAAATGCGCACCCTGTACGTGCGTGAGGTGCGGGTGCGTGCACGTGTGCCAGAAACACAGAAAACATCTCCCAATGAGAGATGCTCGTAGCTTATCATCTCAAATATATATCTTCTCTTGTTAGAGAGTGAATCTGTCCTCCTTCTTTCTTTTTTTTTTCTGTGTGTGTGTGTTTGAAGGCACAGCTTTTGCAGTTTGCGTTGGCGGCGGGCGCTTGTGGGAGTGCGTGGAGTGGGCAGGGAGGTGCGCTGTTGGTGGCGTGCCAACAGTTTAGAGGAGGAGCTAAGTTTTGCCAAATGGCTGGCAATCCCTGCCGCTCCCGTAAAGCCCGCCGACCGATTGCATGGAGCCGGGCTCCTGTCACTGTTAATAACTGCAATGTTTGCACGCTACGGCTTCATTCCTCCCAATGTCCAAATGTTCTTTACGGACGAAACGATCGGAGGAAATGCGCCGGTCCCTCTTGCTATGTCGCAGTTCATCTTCTTTTACATCCGCAATTTCGTCTTTGTTTTGTACGCCGTTTGGCAGGTTTTGCAAGTGGGTCAAGTCACCTTTATTTCTGTAGCCCTTCATCAAGAACAGTCTCGAAGGGCTTCACATACCCACGGTGGACAAATGTTCACCACATCCCCTGACCTTAACCACCAGGAGGGCAAGGAAAAACTCCCCACACCCCATCTGAGGAAAAATGAGAAACCTGGAGAAGGGGCTGCAACGGATGCCAATTGGGCAACATTTGACGCAACATTGTACTCTACTTTAACAAGAACAAGGGTCCGTAACGGCGAAGCGGAACGTGAGAGCGGCCGTGACAAAGTGCGGCGTGACAGCACAGCTTTGGCCTTTGTTGCTCTTCAAAACATCGCTCGGGAGCCGCCGCGGCCGAGCCAACTCGGGTTTCCCCCTGACATTTTTCTGACATTTCAGCGTCTGGATGAGAGGGTCGGTAGGACGGCTCCAGCTGTCCCATCTGTAACGTCCCTGGGGGATGGGGGGGCTTTCAGTGCCGACATGCCAGCCGACGTATGCCTCTGCGCTCTCGTCCAATCTGGCTGCTCTCAATGACCGAATGCACACGCGGCGGCAAAGTTGTTTGAGCATTTTCTTGATGTCCTTGACAGCCCGCTCAAGGTCAATGTACGAGTATGCTTTGCCTGATTATTAAGACGATTTGGCATACTGGTAGAATGACTCTTTCCCGTCATGTTTTGCGTTAGTACGTGGACCTTCAGCTGGATGGCAACGATATAGGAATAAACGCTCAATCGGCTTTCTATACTCGTGGCTGTATCTTCTCAGCACGCCCCGCAGCCATGAAGCATCCGGAAGCAGAACGAGATGAGCAACTGCCCCCCCCCCGAGTAGTTAAGCCATTTCACCCCAGGATCAAATTTCTGCCCCTCCCGCAAATGTGCCTGAATAATTAATTCGGGATCAAAGAACAATCAATAGTGTTTGAACATGAGGCGACTTAGCAGCCGCCCCAGATGTTGCAACCGGCCTGTGGCGGCCCCCACGAAGACGCCAATGTTGCTAACGCGCACATGCTAGCGCTCGCCGCGTTAAGAGCAGCGTTAGCGACTCGCGACTGTGACTTTTCCCATTCGTTTCGTGCCCTTAACTTGAAGCTGCGTGCCATTGAATTCCATAAATTAGAAGCGCAATGCCTCCAGCTCACTTTGACACCGTGCTCCGCCCACATTTAGGTGGCTCGGGCGATTTAGCGTCACCCATCTGTCGAGGATAGCTGCCTCTGCTTGGGGCTCATTTGGCCAAATTCCCTTGGAGGATTTTCTCAAAGTCGTCTCTGAGCCATGCGTGATGCAATTAAAAAAAAAAAAAAAAAAACATGCGCCGACTAAGCTGCATTTTCATTGGCCGAAAGGCATCACACATCGCATCGGCCGACCAGTTCGTTCGGCACCGAAGCATTGAAGCCGTCCATTTTTTAACGGCCTTACTCAAATGTATCCAACCCAGCTATTTTCAATCGTTTTTGTCCTTTAAAAAATGTTTTAAAAATACTAATAATCTTGAGGCGACGTAAATCGCACGGCTCCCGCAGAGTGAGCGCTACGATATATCTAAGACAGTTTGTGTCCAAGAAAGTTCGGTTCTCAAGCGACTTTCAACACTCGAAATTGGCTCATAATGCGTCCGAGTGACAGACAACATGCAGACCAACCAAAAGTTTGGATCTGTGGAAAACACAAGAAATGGATCGTATTTGGATAGATATGGAAGTAGGATTGTTCTTTGCCCCTTTTTTTTTCCGGACCGATACCAATATGGTCAATCACTCGTTTACTCGCCAATACCAAGTAGCGATCGCACAAGTACTTTTGATGTTTTAAACGTTTATGAAGACGGTGACAGACAATTGTACTCAAAGACCTTTCCTCCGGGACGCATAAGGTGATTGACAGTTGTGTGAAATCAGTGCAGTGTAGCGCCTACTACTGGCCAAGAAGACTTGCTTCAGTATCCCATGGCTGGTATTGACCATCTTGCGATACCCCGATACCTTGAAATATCGTGGCCTTTTTTTTTTTTTTTTTTTTGAGGAAACTGCGGACAAACGATTTAAAATGCTTCCTAACCGCAGTATGTCAATGTTTTTTTTTTTTTTTTAATTCAGTGTGCTATTGCAGTCAAACGGAGGAGGATTTTCAAATGAAAAAGGCTCGAGTCTTCTCCGTCCACCATGTTGGACCATCTCATGGTTCAGCAGAGCGTGTCAGAGTTCACACACTCTTATCGTAAAGCAGCAAAACACGGTGCCCCTGTCGCAGGGAGAAATATGTTTTTTTTTTCCTTTCCTTCAGGCTTGCCACTCCGCCGCCGTGCGCGCTCTTATTGCTCCCAGCGTGCGTGTGATGTATTATTAAATAAAGCGGGCGTTCGTTGAAGTCGCACAACACTGGCAAAGTGCGTATTTGACATTTTCCTCTTTATCTTGCAAACAGCCTCCCCACCCTCTCCTCCACGCGCTCCGGCAAACCGATGTTTACCCCTTCCATAATGTGCCCGTTTACAGAGAATCAAAGAGTAAATAAATAGCGAGCCCAGCAAGGAGTTAAACGGGCAACATTTGCATTTGTGTCAAATGAATCGAGCGGCGCTTAGGGGAGGTTTTTAAGCTTATTATTACAGCCGTGGATCACGGGAGGGAAATTCATCAGATAAGCCGCTTAGAGTGGCCTTTATTTTCCTCGACGCTCTGCAGCAGTATTTGCTCGGTGTGTGTGAGAGAGAGCGAGAGACAGAGAATGAGAGAGAGCGAGAATGAGAGAGGGAGAGAGATTCTCCGGGGAGGCGTCCCGACAATCCTGCCGCGGCCCAACTCCCCGCGCAAACGTTGCAATTCAACACTGCGACGACGACGACAACAAAAAAAATAAAAAAGAAATAAATAGCGTAAAATAAAAGCCGCCTTCCCAATTATTGGTTTGTTTGTCATCCGGCCTGGATTTTTGTGGGCGTATTGGGGATTTGCGAAGCAGCCCACCATTCTTCAACCGGGTACAAATGTTGTCCAGAATGCTTAGAGAACCTGTAAAGTGAATTTGGAGATTTGTTTCGGGACGCCGTAGACGTGTTTCAAGGTAACACAGGTCAACAACAAGTTTGAACGTTTTCCGCAACGTATTTTTGTCCCCGACGATGCCGAAACGGCACATCAGGTTAAACCATCTCTGCTTTTAGATAATACTTGGCTGCCCAGAGGGCAGAGAAATGAAAGACGCTTCCGGTCATCTTAAATGGAAATGTTGATGCGCTTTTTGCTGTACTTTCTTTTTGTCAGCGGGACTCCCCGCCGGGGCCTCAAGCAGCCACGACGGGATGGAGGTGACCTCGACAAGATGGCGAACGCCCTCCGCTTCGCACCGTGGCGACGGTAAGTCAAGCGTCCGCTCGTATTTCAAGACGCCGTGTCTCCGACAAAAGTCACCCATGGCGCTTAAGCGACGATTTGACGGATCCAAGTGGCACCTGTCAATTGAGCTGATGTCACGTCGGATCGGAAGTTCCCTTGTCCACTTCTCGGACCCTTCCTAGTTGTGGTATGTGGTCCAAGCGCGCAGCCGTCCTCTGGCCCCGAAGCAGCCGGGATAGGCTCGAGCGTCACTCTCGTGACACCGGGGCGGGAAAATGGAGGGCTTGTGTTCCTAATGTTGTGGCCGGTGAGTGCACGTTAATGATGTCCTGTCGAAAGGTTAATAAGAGCCAACGACCAGAAGAGCAATTTGCGCGCTTTCTCTTGTCTGCTTTCAGAAAGTTCCCATTAGGCTTAGAAGATTTGTGCGGTTTCAAACTCTCAGCCGCGGCAACAAAGTCGTTGCGCCGGCGGTCACAGAGAGGAAGCAAATGGTCTCCCGCCGACAATTATTTCCCAGAATACGCTTTAGCAAAACCGACCGCAAAGCAGACCGCCCCGGTGTGTGCGCGCTGGAGCGGACGGGAAGGCGTTGCGGCACGTCTTCCTCCTTTTACGAGCTAACATCCCGGTCAGCTCGCGGCTGTCAACCGGGTTCCCCGCGTCACATTTGAACCAATGACTAACTTGTTGGCTGCCGGCCGATTCCAAAGCAGAATTCCAAAGCCGTTCCCTTTCGGGGCATTTTGAGGCAAGACCCGCAGAATTTGGTCTTCTGTGACAACGTAAGCACCCACACGACCAAAATAAGAGTCCATCTTTTTATCTTCTTTATGGGTCGGCTCAACCACAAATGTGGAGAAAACAAGCTTTCTGCTCGGGTTCGCCTTTTTGAGTCATGCAATTGCCTTCTGACTTTCTTACCTCAAGAAACACAACGGCGAGCACAGCGACATGCTCTGAAAGCATCGCAAATGATTTTGTGTTCAAAACTATCAGGCTAAAACCGACAAGCGCATGTCCTTTGACGTTGTGGCGGATGTTAAACGGCAACAAGGCACCGAGCGTACCGTAGGTTGTGCTCACGTAGCAGCAGGCGTCGCGCGTGTTGTATCCCAACACGGGCTGAGGCGCAGATACCCGGCGGGAACCTTTATGGATTCATCTGCCGCAGAATGTTCAGGATCATAAACAGTCGGAGGATGCCTCGTGGCATTTTTCCTTCCAGAACAAATCAAAGAAAGGCATGTTTTGTTCGGGCTCAAGCCTTCAGATGCGAAGCGGCCGCTCCCGTTGGCCAGCCTTTGCCGCATCTTTTCAATATCCCGGAGAGCCATCTTAAGATCCATATACTCGTACCTGCCTTGTCCTCCCGCCAAGGGCAACTTCGGCATACCAGTGGGACAACTGCATGTGGCTGGTGAAGTCAAAGCACATTGCATCCCTCGTGACGTTAGACAATTTAACATCTAACGCGTCGCGAGTAGTCCCTGCAGGGTTGGTTGCCTTGAAATATTTACTGCACGACCACTCTCGTAAACTCCAAGCGCTCATCTCAAATCATCTTTCCCCATGGAAATGACTAGAAAGACCATTCATCCTTTCCAGCCTCCCACCCCAAAAAAGGACAACGTACGTCATGTCGAGCATGCGTTATTTGAATAAGAAGCTGGATGATGAGATCATAACAGAATGAAAAAGAATGCAAGGCATTAAAGCAATCATGGGCATGCAACTCCGGTCCTCGAGGGCCACTTTCCTCAGCTCCTCTGTAAAGCTAGAGTAATATCAGTCGGATTTGTTTTGTTTGTCTGTTTTTTTTGTTTTACAGAGGACCAAGAATATGTGCCTGTGAGTACTGGTTTATCTGTCCACATGCCGTTCAAAATATCGGAGACTGAAAGGGCTAAAGGGGCATCGGTGCTCGTTGGGTTAGCCCGCGTATGGTGTTTTCCATTGTGTGTTAGCATTAAGCTAGCTAAGGCACCGTGATGCAGATGTAGTTGATTGTCACACGCAATGTGGAAAATATCTTTTATTTTTACTATTTATTCATTTATTTAACTTCGATTCAACAGGGAGTGACCATAAAGAGCCCAAAGGCTGTTTTTTTTTTGAAGACTGTTCCGATATCTGCCAAACCGCTGCTTGCTTGAGTTCACTGCCACCTTATTTGCGTTTGCAAGTCGAGGCAAAAAAATAAAATCAAGAAAAAAAGAAAATCGTCCAGTATCTCAAAAACGCGTACCTCTAGGCACAACAAAAGTGGCGCACAAATGTCAGCTCGTGCCATTTTTTTTTTTGTCTTCACGCATCACATGCAATTATCCAACTATTTGTCCGACTTGTGAGCAGGGCAAACTGCTCCTACTCGTACAAGGACCTTAATGCTCAAACAGTTTTCCGTAGGCTTGAAATAAGAGGAGAATTTCTCCACACCGCTTCCCTGCTTGCCGGTAGGTGGAGCTTGTCTCCTTCGGCTGGAGAGGAGGAGGAGGAGGAGGAAATCTGGAGCTGGAGATGATTAAGGCGGCAAGAGAGGAGGAGAGGAGAGGAGGGGATGGCAAGCGAGGAGCGAGCGAGAGAGAGTGAGAGAGAGCAAGCGTCAGCACTCCATGCGTTAAAAGGGCAGATGGTAACAGCGGGTAACAGGGGAGCAAAGCCCTCCGCTGGCCGCGCAGCCAAAGATCAGCGCGGCCGCTCAACACATGCGGCCGGAACGTCGCGCAGGAAGCTGACCGGGAGAACACATCGGCGGCGGCGGCGGCGGCAGCACGCTGACAATGCTGCCCATGCTTCCTCTTCTTCTTCTTCTTCTTCTCTGAGCCCACGCTGACAGGACACAGCAGCAGCGGAGGAAAAAGTGTGGACGGAGGAGAAGAGGGAGCCGCGATTGCAGCGGGCATACCGGGGCACTCGGTGGCAACATTTGGGAGAAAGCCCTGAGCGAAAGATGGGGCGCGAAGCCAGGGGGACGAAAAGAAGGAGGCGCATTTAGGACAAGAGACCTGTGAAATATTTCAAGGAGAAACTTGCCGAAGAAAGAGAATTCATCAGCCGAAGCGGCAGCGCGAGGGGGAGTCAACTCTCGTCTTCTCTTTTGATGCCACTCAAGTAGGGCCGGCGCGCGTTGCGCTCTCAGCGCCAGTCCGGGAAAAGTCGGCGAGGAGCTTCCAATGGCGTGCTACTACATCGTGATCAGCTCCACCCACCTGCGTGACGGACAGCTCAGGAGCATCAAAGGGGTGTTCCGAGGACCAATCGGAGCCGGAGGACACAAAAACAACCAAACGGTACGGCAGTTTTTTGAAAGAAAGCCCTTCCCGATACCTTCACGCATCAATGAAACGTTATCGCGGCCCACCGCCCAACTCTGCTTCAAATTTAACAGTCAAGATTCGGAGGTGCATCATCACTCATCTTTTTTTTTGCGTGTCAGGTTCAATCCTTCCGTAAGGAACGGCTGGGACAAGATGTAAAGCCCAGCAAATACGTTGGGTTAGACTTTATTGTGGGGAACTGAGGGGGGGAGTAATGACTCCTCTTTTCTTCAAGGCGTAGCAAAAAAAACAAAAAAACAGGATTAAGATGCAAAATAGGAACTAATCGTTAAAACTTGTGGCGTGATCTCATCAATATATATATGCCAGCAGCCAAAAAGGCGCAACGTCGGACCTCGGTTAACAAGTGCGCGTAGCCCCGAATGCCGGAAGATTGCGCTACTTTCTGTGCCTTCCACCCTAGTGACGCCCTCCGGCCAGGGCGTCCGACCGCTGCTCCTCTTGCATCCATCAGGAACAGTACACAAGGCACAGCAGGCTTGCCAAATGACACAGAATGTTCAAAATTGTCAGTTTGCTAGCACAAATGTCGAAAAAATGGGAGAGGGGGGGTGGGGGGTGGGTGGTGTTCCCCCAAATTCAACAAACCTGAAGATTCCAGTTGGGCATAACCGTAACCTGCCCGGATGACTGACATTCGAGAAAGATGCAAAGGTTGCCATTTTTGATTGATATTGCGACAGTCAGTAAAAAATGACTTGGGCCAGATGCGAAAAAAGGCTGATCAAGCATTTGGAGGAATCGAAAAATACAAATCTTGATGTGATCAGTGACGCCCTCCGGCCAGGGCGTCCGACCGCTGCTCCTCTTGCATCCATCAGGAACAGTACACAAGGCACAGCAGGCTTGCCAAATGACACAGAATGTTCAAAATTGTCTAGCACAAATGTCGAAAAAATGGGAGAGGGGGGGTGGGGGGTGGGTGGTGTTCCCCCAAATTCAATAAACCTGAAGATTCCAGTTGGGCATGACAGTAACCTGCTCGGATGACTGACATTCGAGAAAGATGCAAAGGTTGCCAGTTTTGATTGATATTGCGACAGTCAGTCAAAAATGACTTGGGCCAGATGCGAACTGGCTGATCAAGCATATGGAGGAATCGAAAAATACAAATCTTGATGTGATCAAGATTTGTAGCAAAATGCTCTCAACCCAAAAAGTGGCTGCCAAGAAAAGCTGCGGCATGTTGGCAGACGCGACAAGCACATTTGGCCTTGATTTCCAATCTTGAAAATCTCGCTTTGTTGAGTTTTTGTTGCGCAAGTATGCACTTTTTTTTTCTTTTTTTTTTTTTTTTTTAAACGCTTCGTCAATAATTCATTGCAAGTAATTTAGCGGGCCCCCAAGGTGCGTTCGGTGACGTGTATTCCCCGCGTGACGGCCCCCGGGTCATGAGGTCAGCATCCGCATCACTTGGCCCCGCCCCCTGACTTGATTGTCAGCTCTCTAATCAAAGTGTTTGCACAGTTAATTAATTGCCGCTTCCATTTGCTTAATTGACTGGAGGCGCAGGCAGGCAGATGGGCTGGGGAGGAGGGGGGGGGCGGCGCTAAGCTAAGCGCTCTGCTGGCTCGCCGGCGGCGGTGGCGACGCCACGCTCGGCAGCCTGGTCGAGTCTCGGCCCGGCCTGGCTTGGCACCGAGTGCCTGGCGCCGGGGCTCCTTCGATGAGCTGCCAGGCATAATCATCGCAACTTTGAGAAAAAAACGTTTTGATGAAAAGCACCTCTCGCGTTCAGACACGGCGAGAATGTCGTCACGTTTGTGTTTGCAAACTCCTCCAAGCGTGCATTGGTAGGCTCGCCAACAGGACGCTCGCAAAACTCACCTGCTCGTGCCACCGTGGTGCATTTGAAAAAATGAGCCCCCCCCCAATACTACTTTCACCCCTCTGCACTCCATGCCCAAAATTGAACAGGAAGTTGGCTCAACAATGCCATTTTTTGGAGAGGGTGGAGAGGTTCTTATCAAGGAATAAGTTAGGTTTGGCAGTCAGAATTGTTCTTGTTAATTTTTCCTCCACTTTGCTAACGTGATGTTTTAGAAGCTGCAGGTTTTAGTTGTGTTCTTCAGTTGAAGGGGAAAAAAAAAAGAAATGTGGCACAGAAAATCTGATTTTTTTTTGTCATTGAAAAAGTAATATTTTGTGAGAACTAAGTTGTTTTTTGTTTTTTTTTTTTTTTATCAAGAAAAAGTCACGTTTTCACAAGATAAAGTTCAATTTTCACCTCGTCATTTTTGGCAGCGCTTGTCCTGTACAGGGCCGCGCTCGAGCTGGAGCCTCGCCCAGCCACTAGCAGGATGTGCAAAAAGAAATCGCTTTTCAGCAAATAGATGTGATGTTCGACAAAAGAAAATGACCAGTATGTCGGTTTGTAGTCATGGTTCTTTTTAAATGGGGAGGAAAAAAAATCCAAAACTCTTATTTTTGAGTCATGCTATATTTCGTCAAGAAAAAGTCGTGTTTTAACATGAAATTAAGTACACTTTGATGGCGAATCGGGGAGTTTTTCAGGGAATAGTTTTGGTCCACGGGAAAAAAAAAAAAGTGAGTTGGCAAATGGCGAAAAAAAAGACATTTTATGGGAAAAACCTCTGTCAGAGAAAACATGAGAAGTAGAGTTTTTATTGAACATTTTGTGAAATTCGACATAAAAGTTGCCACTTGGTGAGCTCACAAAATTTTCGAGAAGTTGTATTTTGCCAAGAAAAAAGTCATGCCACAAGAATTTTTTTTTTCCTTGTTAAAAGAGTGAAACTGGTCCTGTTGTCGAGGAATACATTGAATGCCCCCCCCCCTCAAAAAAGTGACATCTTTTCATGAATGATCTCATGATTGCCCTCTTGTGGCGTGGATGTTGGTCATGCAGACGTCAAGTCCCCACTGCTGAAACGGCAGCAGATGTTTTGTCATCGCTTGCTAACGAGCTTTTAAACAGCCACTTAAGCGCTTCCAAAATGTGCCCTGCTGACGTGGTTGCCACTGATTTATTGACACGTTTTCCCGAGGCTCCATTTCCTCTTCCCGCCGCCACCATCCAACGCTTTGGACCAAGGCGGTCATTTCCAAGGGATTCTTGGCCTTGCGGTTGGGCCAGAGTAGGGCGAGAGAGAGTGAGAGAGAGAGAGAGGTTGTTAAGCGATGTGAGAGTGGGGCGCTGTCAAGAGATTTACGACCCGTTAAAGGTGCTGAGTGTGTTTTTTTTTTATTTATTTTTTGGTGCCTCTCCCAGTGTGTCCATTTCACATGTTTATTGGTTAAATTTAAGTTCTGCTGTTGCAACTGATGGATACGTGCTAACATTAGCCTTAGCCTTAGCTTTAGCGCTAAATATGCCGGGCCCGTAACGAGAATCAATTGTGACATAAATACGATGATATGTTTCCCTCGAATCGGTTCACTAGTACTACTCTAGCAGCTCGCCACCCCTCTCCAAAAGGATCATGCTAGCAGCGTAGCAGTGCTGGCTAACTAACCAGACAGCGCTAAAACTATCTTGGCATCGCCTGCACACCTATTAGGTCAAAACTGGCGCTGCATTCTTTTTGACCATATCTCCCGACCGTGCATTTTATTGCCATTCTAGGAATATTTGAGAATCACGCTCGTGCGAGGACGTGGCTTTGGTCAGAGACTCCCGTGAAGTCAAATCGAGCTGACAGTTTTAAAAGTGCAAACTCTCCCCTTAATCAGTGTTTTAAAAAAAAAAACTTTGGCGCAAGTTCTCCAGTAAGACATTAAAGCTGTCAAAGTAATGACGCGAACAAGTTGAAGAAGAGAAGTGAAGCAATAATGAGTGATTTCAACCCACGGCTGCGTCCGTCACCTTTTCCCGGAATAGCGCGCGATATATACGGCGAGAGTTAATTGGCAAACAAGCGCACACGACAACCGCCAGTCACCTTGGATCCTCGTGCGCACGCCGACTAATTTTATCTCCGTCGGCGCGGGCGGCCTATGATGAAACGGCGTGAAAGCGCCACGCCTCCAAATAAGCCGCTGAGATCTGACATGTGTTTGCGCAGCACAAAAAAAGAAAAAAAAAAAAACGAGCCTTTTAAGTGGGAGCTGACTCCAGATCATCTTAAATATACATTAGGTTGGTGATTCCCAACCACTGCGCCGTGACACATCATTAGGTTTGCCGCAGGAAATGAACCCATTTCACATTGTTGCTCTGAAAATGATTTTCCATTTACGAAGGTCCTAACCGGTGAAATGGCCAACGTTTTACTTTCTCGTGAGACAGGAAATGCTGTTTCTGGAGGTTAAGGACACGCATGACCGACAGGACATTAGTCATCCTCTCACATGCCCATTAAGACGTTAGTTTTGGGAGTAGACACCATATATAGGATGAGAAGGTTTGTCGTTGTGCTTCCTGTGCGTTTTCGGTGTCAAAATAGTTGACGTCTCTGCAGTCCATCCATCGGATCTTTCAAACGCAACTCGGTCAAAGTGGACATGTTTTGACATGCGAGTCTGTCACTCGGTGTGATCATGGTGCTCATATTCAGCATCTAAAGCCAAAGCTAAACTTCATCAGCTCAAGATACTTTTTGGGGGGCAGGGGGGGCTTATGTTTGTACTTGAAAATCCCTCTCTGTTGTCAAGTTTAACAAATATCACAATATAAGTTTTCAAAATAATCGGCAGATTCATCGATTATCAGATTTTATTTTATTTTTTGTCAAATATCAGAATTGGCATGGGCCTAAGAAAAAAAAAAAGCTACTTTTCAGGCTCTGCTATTTATTCCTACTAAGTGGTTCAATTAGCTTTGCAGTGTACGTGTCACATTTCTGCTTGGTTGGTGTGCCATGAGCTTTTTTTTTTTTCTGGGTGTAAAATATGCACCTTGCCTGGATAAAAGATGAGAAACACTGCATGAAGTCTTCAATGTCGCTTTTTGATTTTCACCATTTCCTCCCCTGACCTCCATTACCGAGCTA